TGCCTGGTAGTGGCGCCCCAGCTGCCCTGGAGTGGGTAAGCTGCAGATGTGTCGGCCCCCTCCTTAGACTGTGAGCCCCGGAGGGCAGTGATTGCAGGGACATGAGGAGAAGGAGAGGGATTTTAAGGACTTTGGCTCTTGATTATGGAGGCTTCGCAAGTTCAAAAGCATCAGCATAGGCCCACAGGGTGGAGCCCCAGGGAAGACTTCAAAGGTGGTCTGGAGCAGAATTTCCTCTCCTGAGGAGTCCGTCTTCTATTAAGGCCTTCGGTTAGCTGGGTGAGGCCATCCAAGTTATGAAGGGTAATCTGCTTGACTCAAAGTCCACCGACTTAAACATTAAATTCATCTAAAAACAGCTTCACTAAAGCATTCAGTATAAAGTCTTAGGCATCCATACACACCTCCTTAAATCATACCTATTCTCCAGACAGAGACAGTAAGAAGGTGATAATTCCCTCCAACACGACAGGACTATCCTGTATACAACTGAAAATGCACTAACGCTTTCCCTAAAGAGGATGCAAAGTCCTTGGCTGATGTCTACTCTTCTCCTTGGTATACCATAACTAAATACTATGCTGTGAGGTTAACAATACTATGGTAAATATGACATAAAGTAAAAAACAGGGGCACCTGGGGGGCTCAGTGGTTGAGTGTCTGCCTTCAGCCCAGGGCGTGATCCTGGGGTCCTGGGGTCACGTCCCGCTTAGGGGTCCCCGCAGGGAGCCTCCTTCTCCCTCTGCCTGTGTCTCTGCCTCTCTCTCTGTGTGTCTCTCATGAATAAATAGATAAAACCTTTTAAAAAAATAAGTCAAAAATATAGTTTCCTCTATTATGTTACCTAAGGGGATAATAGAGGAAAGACAACAAAGATATTAAACACACATATGTGCGTAACAAAATACAGAAGAACTCCTTATGACAATTACAGTCCTTGTTTTCTGTAACTGGTCACGCGGTTGTAGCTGGTATTTATGATTACCCTTCCCTCCTGCCCATTCCATATTCCCTTTGTCCTCGGCTGGTTTTACTTCTTTGCCTGGTATGATGCCCTGCACTTCACTCATGGAGGATCAAGGTCATTGGTAGTCCTGCCTGAATTTGATGGTCATTTTCCACTAACTTCAATCACAGGGTAGGGTAATCCTAAGGGACACCTTTAAGAGGCCCCCTGTACTCCAGACATACTCCTCCTTACCTACATCGTGATGGTCAAGGGGTATGTTTGGTCCCCCCTTCTCGCAGCTAACCCTGTTCAAAGCTACTTGGCCATCTTGAAATCTTTCTCAGGTTCTGATTCTGGGTCATGCTCAAGGCATTCTCTGGATATTTCTGTTCAGGCCAGTTCCCATGTTCATTTATGCCTACATATACCTGGCAGGAAACGGTTAAGATGAAGTCAGCTGGAGCTGCCCTTTGGCATAAATTTTTTCTTATGTGTCCCTAAGCAATGGCATTTATTCTTGACCCTCTGCTCATCAAAGTGCCAAACTCACAGACATTTTAAGCTTAAACATTTACAAGGTGACCTTTGTCTATTTAATGACAAACGCACCAACATCCAGAACTCTAAATATTGTGGTTTATCATTAGTCGGTTTTATCATATGAACACGAGAATTTCCCTTCCCAGCTAAAGGCAAGAATTGAAATAAGACTTATACATTTCGGCAGAGGTTTCCAGAGGTGTGCCTTACACCATATTAACTGAGCATTAAGAGGATTCCAGGTGTATCTGCCTTGTAGCTTACCTGGAGAGTACTCTGCGTGCTGATAGCTGAGGAGGCATTGTTATCCTACCACCAGGTAAGGTGAGTCAACACTGAATGTGAGAACTGTCAACAGAAGGAAAACTTTCAAGTCTCAGGAAGAGCCGGGTGGAGGGGAAGGAGTTGGGGAGGACCAGATATGCCTTGGGAAGGAAACTTTGGGAACCCCAAATTGAGAGGCAGCAGCTTGGCAATTTGATTTCCCTTTTGAAATAGCAGGTTCTGTCCTTGGTAATAAAAAGCAGAAAATATTTTTAAAAAATATATATTCATTTGAAAAAAGAAAAAGGAAAAGATATCAATAAAAATAAGCATATGGTTTGGTATCCTGATTTTTAAGAGTGTACTATAACAGTCTTTGAAAAAACAGCATTTGAAGGTCAGGAAATTAAATCAGATTTAGATTGAGAATCTTGTCCCATCTTTTTCTCTTTCAAAGTTCATATGGTCAATTAGAATTGACCTGTAATTACTTGTCCTAGTTGAGGGCATCAGATCTTGGCATCTGTATTGTATTTGTTGGAAAGAAATGTCCATGTAACAAGGCAATGGAGCTTCTGTGAGATCACTCACCAAAACAGTGGTTTAATAGGTCATAAAAAATTCTCTACTCCAAATACTCTTATAAACTGTTTTTTTTTTTTTTTTTTTTTTAACAAAGCAAGAACCTTAGGACAACTGGTGGTATGCTTAAGGAGAGCCTTGGGGGGCTGGGGGATGCCCGGGTGGCTCAGTAGGTTGAGGGTCCAGTTTGGTTTCAGCTCAGGTCATGATATCAGGGTCTTGAGATTAAGCCCCATACTGCGGCTCTGTGCTGAGCATGGAGCCTGCTTGAGACTCTCTCTCTCTAGCCCCCGGCTCCGCTTGTGAGCACTCTCTCTAAAAAAAGAAAGACTTTGAAATAGTACAGACTTATGTAGGATCTGTCTCTGCCCCTTGCTAGTTGTGTTGCTGTGGGCAATTATTTGACCTCTCTAGGCCTCAACTTCCTTAGATGCAAAATGGGGGTGATCTTAGGTCACTTTTAAGAGTAAGTAAAATAATGCACACAAAGCTCTTGACATAGTATCTGGTACATAGCAATTAACTGCTAAATTGTGTCGTTGAAAACAGGGACCCAGCATTTGGTATCGCTGCATTCGGAGAAAAAGCATAATGCCTGCGATAGAACACAGCTCAGATGTAGACTGAAAGAAGGAAGAAAGGAGATGTATGGGTGGCTCTAGCTTGGGGTGAATGGGCAGAGGTGGGAACACTGTTTTTTTACCTTCTCATACATTCCTTCTTCAAAGGTCCCAGTTACCTCAAAGAAACTTTGTTTAAATTTCCAAACTGCTGGAGTACCTGGCTGGCTCACCTGGCAGAGCATGTGATCTCAGGGCCCTGAGTTCAGGCCCCACGTTGGGCACGGAGCCTACTTTAAAAAAAAAAATCTAAACTACTCCTAAGGGCAAACTGTGGTTAAAAAAAAAAAAAAAGTTAAATACATTGTAGTCAAGAGACAGAAAGAGAGTGGGGATGTGGGTACCTGGTACTTTTCCAGAAAGGTCCAAGCTCTTGTTTTCCTTGCTCTTTCACTGCAGGGAAAAAGCTGGGCCCCCAGTTCTCATTTAGGGGAAGAATTCAGAATTATAGTCACATCACGATCCAGGGCTCTTTTCAGCGCATTTGGATTCTGAGCACCACAGCTTTTAGAATAACCCATTGGGCCTTTTCTTTGTTTCACTGTCCTATGATAGAAGAAAGCTGTTCGATACTTTTAAAATTCTGCAGAATTAAGATAAGGGCACATCTCTAGGCACCCCCCCCCTCTTTTTTTTAATCCATTTGTATCCAAACAGAAGCCCTGCAAGGTTTGGAATAGTAAGTGGTTTTACTCTCCTCTCTTCCCCAGCAAGGCTCCACCTGGAGGGCTGCACAGGTGGGCTTCCAGGGGCCTTCCAGGTGGCTGGCCCAGGGCAGGATTTAACCTGCATCACTTGATATTCAACACTTAATGCCGAGGGCGGAAGAGGCCCAGGGCATTCAGAGACAGGACAGGGCCAGATATAGAGGGGAGGGCTGGGGCTAGGAAGAAGAGGGAATGATCAGCTTGCCTGGGATTCAGGAAGGGTGTGAACCAGGAGGTAATGAGGAACTGGAATGAACCGGAGCAGTCACTGGGGCTCTCTGTGCAGTGGGAGCTCTTAAGAGGGCTTCCTTCCAGCTGAGAATCTTTCAGGATGCCATCTCCTCTACAAAGCTCTTCCTCAAGTCCCATTATACTTACATGCCCCTCTTTTAGAGGATTTACAGGACTTCTAATGATTCATTAACTTATGTACATGTCTCATTTCCCTCCTTGAAGGGAACAGCTAAGGGCTGTTTCCCTCCCCAGACTAGCAGCCTTGGTGTTGCTGAAAAGTGCTCGGTGCCCAACACCCGGCCTGAGACCTTGTATCTGGGTAGAGAAGCAGCTTTTGCAAGGGGGAGGGGAAGAGGCGGGCAGAAAGGAGACAGCTTGGGAGTGACTTGCGTCCCACATGGCTTCCGCTTCCGTGTTCAACCCCAGAGCTGAGTTTCCAGCAGCCAGGGATCCCTGGGTGGCGCAGCTGTTTAGCGCCTGCCTTTGGCCCAGGGCGTGATCCTGGAGACCGGGGATCGAGTCCCAGGTTGGGCTCCCGGTGCTTGGAGCCTGCTTCTCCCTCTGCCTATGTCTCTGCCTCTCTCTCTCTCTGTGTGTGACTATCATGAATGAATAAAAAAAATTAAAAAAAAACAAACGTCAGCAGCCAGCACCTTGGAAGCAGGGGAGAAGAGGTTTAAGAGGGGTGCCGAGTGTGACCTTGTCAGGCTCTCACCCAGACCCAGGCCTCGGCTGGCCCATCTCTTGGGAGCCTCAGTACTTCCTGTCTCTGAGAGCTCCTGAGTGAGGCCCTCGAGGGCAGGGCAGCTGGGAGATAAAGGAGCAGAAGCTCAGGGTCAACAAATGGATTCCTCCTTAGCGGACTTGGGAAAGGTCTGCTGAGAATAACCCTGAAAGGTGGGCACGGATGCCTCTTCCGGGTTAATAATCGGCTTACTCTGGGTTCCCCAGAAAAACACTGAGCAACAATTTTTGGTACAGGTAGTTTGTTTTGGGAACAAGTCGGAGGGAACAGCAGAGGGGTGGGAAGCTCAGGCAAGCAAGGAAGAACAGAGAAAAGCAGTCCAGGGCTGCGGTACTGAACTGAGGACGTTGGGCACCACCATGGGCAACCGGGGCTCTGTCCTCTTAGGAGCCACACAGAACGCACCTCAGAACTGTCCCACCGGAAGACGGTAAGAGGGGAGTATTTCTCCACCAGCTGTTTCTGCCTCAAAGCCTGTCCCCAAACAGTGTTAGGTTCTTTTTGCATTTGCAGGCATATGCGTGTGTCAGAATGGGCAGTGATTTCCTGCTGGGGTCCCTGGCTGCTGTGACCTCGAGGACCCGAGGCAGGACGCCAGGTGCCGTGGAGGCAGGCAAGGTGCTCTCGGGTGACACCTGAATGCAGTGGTTCGCCTCAGCAAAGCTGGAAGAGAAAGATGGGCTGGGAGCCGGATTGGCAGGGGGGGGCTACGCAGGTGAACGTGGGGGGGGGGGCCAGCGGCGGGCGCAGTTTGATAGACCTTCAGGCCGAGCGTCCTTTCCCTGTCTTCCATAAATAGAACCACATTTCCATTTCATTCTCCGCCCAGAGTCAGGCCCTCTGGGTTTTCCAGGTGGAAATAGAAATTCTTCCTTTAATTAAATGCTTTCTAGCAACGTATAGCCCTCAAAGCAGCAGCCCAGGGTAAGATTTTTGGGCTCTGGCTGTGGCAGGTGCAGGGGGAGCACTCTGGAGAGCACGCTGCCGCAGGTGGTCTGTAAAATGGGTACAGGGACTTGAGTGCATCCTGCCTTTGTGACCAACACTGTGTGTGTCAGGAGCTGGGGATAAAGCACAGCCGCTCCCAAGAAGCTGACCAGTTTTTTTTAACCCCCACCGGCCCGCGCTGGCCCCCGGTTCACCTGCGTAGCCCCCCCCCTGCCAATCCGCGCTCCTCTGTAATTGGACCCAAACGAAACTCGGCCACTAGGGTCCAATGGGTCCCGGGAGTTCGCGTTCTCTCCTCGGCCCGGTTTCATGCCGCAGGCCCCGGAGCCGCGGCGGCCTGTTGACCCCACAGGCCCCAGGGCTGGAGCTCTGCGGCCGCACTGCGGCCAAGGACCTGCGCGGGCTCGCGGCGCTCGCTCTTTAAATGCGCATCATCCGATCAAAAGACAAATAGAAAAACCACCCGGTCGCCTCCGACCGGTTCCAACGTCGGCAAACACGCTCGGGAGCTGCAAGGACGCTGGCGCCTCGCCAGGTGTCCCAGGTCCGGGCGCACCTGCTCCGCCGCGTGCTAGCCCGGCCGATCCCGAAGGCGGTTGGCGCTGGAGGCCGACGCCCGGCAAGGGGTAGGTCTCCGGCTGGGGGCCGGACCGGGGGTACCCGGGGGCTGGCCGGGCCGCGGGGGGGCGGGGGGCGGCAGGCGCGGAGCCCGCCCCCGCAGTCACCCCGCCCTGCGCAGCCAACCCCCGCCGCCCTCCCCGCCCCCTGCACAGCTGCCCCTCCCCCTCCCCGCCCCCCTGCAAGCCGCCCCCTCCCCCTCCCGGCCTCCCTACGCAGCCGCCCCCTCCCCCTCCCCGACCCCTGCACAGCCGCCTCCTCCCCCTTCCCGTCTCCCCTGCACAGCCGCCCCCTCCCCCTCCCCGACCCCTGCACAGCCGCCTCCTCCCCCTTCCCGTCTCCCCTGCACAGCCGCCCCCTCCCCCTTCCCGTCTCCCCTGCACAGCCGCCCCGCCCCCTCCCGGCCCCCCTGCACAGCCGCCCCCTCCACCCTCCGCAGCCCAAGGGCGGAGCAGCCGCGGCGGGAGCGCCGACTCGGGGAAGCGCGGTCCGCAGCCGGGCGGCTCCGCCCAGGGGGCCGGGGGCAGGAGGGGCCGCTCCCCGCAGCTCCCGCGCCGCGCCCTCCGCTCGGGTCCCCGCGGCCCTGGGCGGTCCCTGGCCGGGCGGCGGGTCCCGGGGGGCGGGTCGGGGGGGCCGCCAGCTCCGTCTCGGTCTCCGTCCCGGCTGACGCGCGGCCCCGAGGCTGCAGGGTGCAGAGGCCCCCGCCCGGCCCGGACCCCCGCCCGCCCCCGCCCACCGGAGGGACGCCGCCCCGGGCCGCAGGGGGGAGGCCGAGCGGCACCCGCGGGCGCCCAGCCCCGCCACGGCCCCGCGAAGCTCCCGCCCCCGCTGCGGCCCGGGAGGTGCGGACCTGGGGCCTGGGGGCTGCGGGGCGCGGCGGGGACGCGGGGCCTGGGCGCGGAGCCGCCTCAGCCAATGGGAGCGCGGCCGGAGCCGAGCCCCCGCCGGGGAGGAGGGAGGGACGCAGGCCGGCAGTGGCGCCCTGGCCTCGGCGTGCGCGGAGGGGGCGGCGCCTGAGCGTCCGGGGCGTCCCCGGGGGTGCTGGAGCGCGCGGCGTGCAGGGGAGGGGCCGGGGGAGGATGGGAGCTGGAGCGCAGGGCGTGCAGGGGAGGGGAGGGCGGGGGGAGCAGGGGAGGGGGAAGAGTGGGTGCTGGAGCGCGGGGCGTGCAGGGGAGGGGAGGGCGGGGGGTGCTGGAGCACGTGGCGTGCGGGGGAGGGGTGCGGGGGGGAGGGCGGGGTGGGGGCGGGAGGGGCAGCAGGGTGGGGGCGGGGCGGGGTGCTGTTCCGGCCGCGCCTGGCGCCGTGCGCGTGGCTGAGCCCTGCGAGCGTCCTGCAGCCGGCGGGCGCCGAGCGGCCTGAGGTCAGCGGCCTGGGGTCCCCCCGGGGCTGGGGTCGGGGCTGGGGTCAGGGTCGGGGCCGGGGCTCGTGCGTCCCTGCGGAGGCGGCCCCGGACGCTGCTGGAGCGCGGCCTGGCCCGGTGCGACCCGCGGGGAAACCCAGCTGCGCCGGGAGCTGGCGGCTTCGCGCTCGGCCGCGCCGCGTGTGGTCCGCCCCCGCCGGGCACCCGAGCCGCCCTTGGGGAGGAGGGGGCAGTGGCCGGCGCCCCGCGGGGCGCTCGCAGTCCGGGTGGGGCCCGCGGTGCCGCCTACTTACAGGCGCGGCGCGGTGCCGTCCGGAGGCGCGGGGGGAAGGGCCGAGTTGAAAATGCAGCAGCCGGGAGCCGGGGCCTGTAGTTAGGGCATCAGGAGGAGCATCGCGGAGGAGTCCTCGTGGAGGAGCGAGCTCCGAATCAGGACTTGGCCGTGTGGACAAGTCAGGTGTGGCATAGGGTGAGCAGCCCTGGAAAACCGGGGGTGCGGGGCTTGCTGAGCGACCGTGGGGCAGGAGGGAACGCGGAGACGGGGTTCGGAGGCGCCCCGAGGTCTGATGTGTGCACTCGGATTTGAAATGTGGTGAGCACTTACGAGTGGAATGGCTCTTTGCCAGTTGTACTAATATTTTTATTTCTTTTGCGTATGCACCGGAAATCTTGGAAATATCTTTGATTTTTTATTCTTGCACATCCTCCTCTTAAATGTGTCAGTTAAGGAGCACCTGCGTGGCTCAGTCAGCTGAGCATCTGCTTCCAGCTCAGATCATGATCGCAGGGCCCTGGGATTGAGACCCAGGAGCCTGAAGTCCACCCCCTGCTCATTGGGGAGTCTGCTTCTCTCTCTCCCTGCCACTCCCCCCCCCCGTCAAATAAATAACATTTATTTAAAAAGTGTCAAGTTAAATCATACTGGGCTCTACCTTCAAAATGTAGCCAGATTCTGACCACTTTTTGTTACCTTGGTAGTTTCCACCAGGGTCACGGTCACGGTCAGGGTCGGCAGCCCTTCTGTCTATCTCCAGAGAGCTCCTTTTCACCATTCACTAGAGTTGCCGTGCACAACTTACTTTCTTTCTTTCTTTCTCTTTCTTTCTTTCTTTCTTTCTTTCTTTCTTTCTTTCTTTCTTTTCTATTTATTTATTTATTATTTATTTATTTATTTATTTATTTATTTATTTATTTATTTATTTATTTATTTATTGCTGTGCACAACCTTGAAGGCTATAGAGGATGGTCCTGTATGGCCACCCAAGCATATAATGGTCTCCCTACTTCCTCTTTGTTCATCCTCAGTTTCTTCTTAACCCAGTGACACGTGGTGTTAAAATATAAGTCTGATCATACTAGGCCTCTGCTGAAAACCCCCCTAAGTAATTCACATTTTATGTGCCTCCTGTGTGGCGGGCACTGTTAGGTGTTGGCTATGACAGTGACCAAAGCAGACAAACCCCCCCCCACTCTCAGAGCTTACATTCTCCTAGGACTGAAGATAACAAATAAGATAAATAAGTACAACGTGTATACTGTTATAATGTAGTAAGCCAAGGAGGGGGGGGGAGGGAAACGGGAAAGGAGGAATAGAAAATGTCAGGGTAGGGGTGGGATTGATGGACTGGCCAGGGAATGTCTTACTGAGTAAATATTTGAGTAAAAGACCAAAGTGGGAGAATGAGCCCTATGGATGGGGGCGGGGGGAGAAAAATGTTCCAAGTAGAGGGAAAAGTAAGGGCAAAGTTCCCAAGGCAGAAGGTTACTTGTCATGTTCTAAGTATAGCAAGAAAGGCCCCGGTAACCAAGGTGTAGCGAACAAGGTGGGATGAGGCCAGTGAGGTCATGAGGACCCAGATCACGGATGGTCTTGGGGGCAATCTGTAGTGATTTTGGCTTTTACACGGAGCAAGAGTTTGTGCAGGAGGGACATGATCTGCATATTTCACAGGATCATGCAGGCCACTGTTGAGCAGCGTCCAAAGGGGGACAAAGGTAGAGGCAGGGAGCCAGTGGGTGGCGATTACAATAATCCAGGCAGGAAGTGAAGACGGCTTAGACAGAGATGATCATCAGAGTGTCCTAGATATACTGAAAAGGTGGAGTCAGGATCTGCTAACAGCCTGGCTGTGGAGTGTGCAAAAAAGAGAAGATCAAGAATGAAGAAGAGCTGGAGAAGCAGGTGTTCAGTGCCGTGGTACGGGTTCAGCTGTGGACAGGTGCTTATAACGGATCAGCTGTTGAACATTCTGGTGGAAATGTTGGACGGGCAGGCGGATATGTAAGTCTGGAGTTGGGAGGAGAAGGCCCTGGGAGGTAAACATTCAGGAGTTGGCATGTAAATCCTATTTAAAGCTATGAGAGTTCACCGTGGTGGTGTGAAGAGCCCACCAGCGGGGCCAGAGACGCCCACTGTTTAGTGCTCCCCGACTTGCACTGAGGCAGAATTTGACTTTGGTTTCGATCTGGTTATCCCAGGGATGGAATGCCTGCCTCGTCTGGCAGTTGTCATTGTGATTATGGCAGTTTTGACAGCTCTGGTAACACTCTTGGGGAGGGACACGGGTTCCTGGTGTCGCTGCGAGACCCACAGTGTCGCAGTCCCAGAAGCGGGGCAAGCTGAAGAGTCTGTATCAATGCTCCGCGCGGAGACCCACTCAGTGTAGCTGGTGTCGTCTCCCTGCGAGGAGGAGCAGACACCTGAGGCCTATTTAACACGGAGAATAAAGACCTCACACCCCTTACAGAGCTGAGGGCGGGAGGGCAGATGGTCCCAGAAGCAGCTGTGCCCCAAGGAGGCTGGGGTGTGTTTCTCTTTCATCGCTGCATCCATCTCTCCTCCTCCTCTGCTCCTGTGCTTGACCCTCCTCTCCGCGGACTGGCCTCATCCATCTCTCTGGCCTCCCGCCCTCCCCACTGCTGCAGCCGTGTCTGATGGTCTGATGGTCTCCGTCACACGTGGTCCTAGGAGTCCCCGTTTATGATCAAATGGCAGTGAGATCATCGTCCATCATTAATGCCCCTGTAAAATGCTTCTTGACTTTGGTTCCAGAATAATCCTGTCTCTGAGGGGTAACTGGTATCTTTTTGGGATTAGGGCCTTGAAGGCGGTCAGCTTTCCCCGTGCACGGCCTTGAGGAGGCCCCGGAGCTCACAGGCAGCTCCTGTCGCTGGGCTGGGCTGGCACTTCTAGGCCGCTACCAAGTGCTCGGAGGGAACCCGAGGGTGATAGCTCTGTCTCTCCGGGTAGGGGGTCCCCACGCAAATGCCCGGGGAGTGCAGGGAGTCAACAACGGTGATTGGAGTAGGCCTACGAGGGTGAGTGTAGGCTTCACACTGAGGTCAGGAATACCTTAGCTGCCTGGTTACGTGGCCTTTTAAAACGCCGGGCTGCCAAACAGCCACGTAGAGCATGGTGGCAGCAGGCTGCGGCTCTCACGCAGAAGCTGACGGTCCTCCGCACCTCAGGGTGGGGCCCTACCTCAGATTTTCTGCCGAACCCCAGCCTGGCCTCCTCCACAGGACGGGGCCTTCCCTTCCCACTTGGATGTGCCGAGGCCCGTCCACACTCCACGTCTAGAAACCTACGCTCTTCTCTGCCTGGGGCCTGCCTTCCGGGTGCCTGTTTCCGTCTGACGGCTTGCCGTTTCCAAGGATGTCAGCATTGGGAACGACTGTCCCTTGCAAGGGAGGCCTTGATCCTAAGCCACAGGACTGCAGCCAGCTGGGCCTCTGCAGGGAAGCCTGTCAGAATGCCACGGGGAGCCCCGCTTTGGGCCAAGGATGCACACGCTGCTCTTTTTGAAGAGGAAGTACATTCCCCAGGTAGCGCATGGGTGATACAGTGACCGTGGAAACAGGGCGCCCTTGAGAGTACACCCAAGTGTTCTCAGTGTCAGAGGAGTTTCTCCCAGATTACAGATGGATGTGTGAGCATCTTGGTTTTGTGTCATCATCTTACAAATTTGGTCACTGGCAGTCGAGTCCTCAGTGGGGCAGCTGAGGTCAAGGCCCGAGAGACTGTCCCCCACCTCTCCCCACAAAGTCACCCTGCCTCCTTGCCACACCCACCTTTCACAGCCACCTCCGTTTCCAAACCAAAAGACAAGTGAGAGCTTTTCAAGTTTGAGAACTTCATGTTCACAGAGAAGAAAGCCCAGCACAAGGCATTAAAAATGACGGCAGGCAACTCCCAAGACCACACGGGCGTCCCACTGCCTCTAGCAGGCATTGTGTTTGCTGTGGAAAAAATACATTTAAGAAACTTCAAAAACAAGAAGAGACCTAAAGCCCTGCCTCTTGGTGTGTAAGCGATGACCTCTCGAGTAGCCAGCTGTTCGAAGGGCTGAGTTCTCATATACTTTTTTTTTTTTTTTTTTTTTTTTAGTTTTCATGTACTTTAAGCTATTTTCACTCTAGCACTTTTCGATACTGCTGACTTGAGGGAAAATAAAAATTGCAAGCAGCCCTCTGGAGAGAATATTGAAGCGGTCTCTGCCGCAGGCACTGAGCACAAGGGATGGAGGGGCTTTAATTAGAGACTACTGGCTTTGGAGTCACCCGGTGGTGGTGACCTCAGCCTCTAGTCCCAATGGGAGAGGGGGAGATTGGGGGGAGATGCATGTGCTCAGCCTGCCCAGCCGCTTGGGGGGTGGGGGGGGCACCCGGGGTGGCGTTGGGGGGGGTGCCCAGGTAAAGATTGAGCCACGTGGGCGTGTGCCTTCAAAGAAGGGCCACCTCGGGCTCCATTTTGCTGTTGCCTGCCAGGTGCTTGCTACGGAAACTTCCGTTCTGGCCGCAGGCTGACTTTCTACTCCCAGCTCATCCCCACCCACAGACTCACTGAGTGCCTCCTTTGTGTCCGCCTTCTTCTAGGCAAGAAGGATTTAGTGGTGAACAAGATGGAGAAGGCCCCTGGCTCCACTGAGTTTATGATTTAGAAGGGGAGGATGAAGTAAAGAAACATGGTGATTTTCGATTAAAGAGTGGTCTTACAGGGAGCAACCTGCGTGTGCTGCGTGGAGGATCGGGATCCGCCTCCCTTATGTCCAGAGTTAGAAGGACTCACCATCTGGAGTGAGGGAAGAGTAAAGGCCGGGGCCCTGAGGCAGGAAGGAGCTTGGCACACACAAGAGGCTTTCAGAAGGTCAGAGTGGCTGTGGAGCAGTGAGCAGAGGAGGGCGGCACCAGACAAGGTTGGGAAGGGAGACAGAGGCCCACTCCCAACAGGCATGGAGAGGAGGCTTTGGGCAAAGGAGTCGCATACCTTGACTGGTATTTTTTTAAAAAGATTTATTTGAAAGAGAGCATGTGCGTGAGCAGAGGAGGGGCAGAGGGAGAGTGGGAATCCTCAAGCAGACTCCCTGCTGAGCCCAGCGCCCAGTGCAGGGTTCAGTCTCAGGACCCCGAGATCCTGATCTGAGCTGAAGTCGGACGCTACCCGACTAAGCCACCCAGGCGCACCCCTTGACTGGGATTATAAAGATCTCTGTGGCCACAGTGCTGAGGATGGCCTGGAGAGTAGGGAGTGGAAAGAGCCTGCTGCATAATCGGGGAAGACCCACAAGCCAAGGGGTCCCCATTTGTTTTCCTTTCTTGAGGATTAAACGGATTAAATACCTCCGCCTGCCACCCACAGTGAGCAGTGCAGTGCTTGGCTAGATAATGAATATGTTAGAGACCTCGTGGCCCAGGAGGCCGGTTACCGGTTAGGTTTGGGTGGCAGCACAAGGGCAGGAGGGAGCTGCCTCCCAAGCAGAACCGTCGTTCCTGACAAACCACAGGCAGGTGTGCAAAGGGGGGGCTCGGAGGGTTCAGCAGAGAAAGAGCAACAGCTCCTCTGGCTGTGATTGCCTTGCTTGGCTCCCTCTTAGCCACCCCTTCCTTCCCCTGGGCCAGGAGGGCTCACTGTTCACCACAAATGCAACACACCAATCAACAGTTAATAATGCACAACTGGTCATGGTGCTGAGTAGCCGGAAGTGACCCCACGTGGTACATGGCCTGTTGCAGTAAAGTTGATTTGACTTCAGAAGAGACCGGTAGGGTGTTGGGAGGGACTCCGTGTGCGTGCATGCGCGCGCACGTGTGTGTGTTTAAGTTGATGGAAGGGTGTCGTTCTCTAGCTCCTGTCTCCATGTACTAGAGCTACTGATGAGTTGTGCCTCAGAGCCAGGCCCTGTCTGTGCTGGGGGCGGAGAGAGAGGTGGAGAGTTGAGTCTGGTTGATATGTGTCATGGGCCAGAAGAGGGCCAGAAGAGCAGCCTGTGGAGGCAAGTGGCCAGAGTGCAGGCTGATGCCCCGGGTCACCACAGATGGATGATCTGGTTATAGGGAACAAGCGGATGGGGCTTATATAGTTGGAATTCCCAGGGGGGGGGTATGGTCCCCAAGTCCTCCCTGTGGTTGCTACTTAACTTGGTTGTAGGATCAGTGGTCTGGTCCCACATGTTACAGATGGGTGACAGCTGGCCCACGCTTCCCCAGGGAGTTGGTGGCACAGCTAGACCTAGAACCCAGCTCCTGACTCTTCTTATCATATGAGGCTGCAGCTCGGTGAGGGCGGTGCCAGAGGACACTGCTGGGTACCACGACCGGGCCTGAGCCCGCCAGCCAGAGCCCAGTTAAGGCTCACAACCTGGAGCCAAAATGGCCCCTCCTGCCTCAGCCCCTGAAGGGTCCACCCATGAAGGCGACCAGGCAATGCTGAGGGTACATTGTGTGTTTCAGAACCCACTGCGAGGAGGCTGACCATCCCACCTCTTGTGGCCACAATGCTGACCACCCGCCTCTTCAGACCCCTGTCACAGCTCCCGGGGAAATCTCTGAAGTTCTATGATAGAGGAAATGGAACAAGGTAAGAAACAAAAGGGTGGAGGCCCCCTTGAGGGTCACACCTGCTGGGCAAAACAGCTCTCCACACACGGACGCTGCGGGAGGTAAGAAGGCTTGACTCTCAAGGACGTCGGTCAGTACTTGCTGCCCGCCAGCAGAGGAAACCCAGAGATGTCCGCAAAAGGTAAAGACCTTCACAGGGCACAGAGGATGATCTTTCACCCCTGCTTTATGTTTTTCAACTTTTAATGTTGAAATGACTACCCTTCTGCAAAAGTTGCAAAAACAGTAGAGGGTTCCTCTGTCTCCTTCACCTCCTTCCCCACATGTGAACGTCTGACGAAACCATAGCACAATCACCAAAACCAGGAAACTACTGCTGATGTAATAGGGTTAACTATCTATAGACCGGATTCAAATATCACCACTGGCCTACTAATGGCCTACTACTTCCTGGTACCAGGTACAAAGCAGGGTCCCAGGTTGCATTTACTTGTCGTGTGTCCTTAGTCTCTTCCTACTGGGGACAGCTCATGACCTTGACACTTTGGAAGAATCCCTGTCAGTTTGGGTTTGGGTAGTGTTTCGTTTCATGTACATCGAGACGTGGATGTTGGAAGAGTCGCCCCTAAGTGGGGTGCTGCCCCTCAGGAGGCATAGGACATTGATGTGTCTCGATGCTCTGATCACCTAGATAACTGCTCTTTTTCAATCTTACACATGAAACCAGTTAACCAAAAACATCCTGAGGCTTCCCTGGTAGGTTGTGTGATTTAGAGGAAGCATTAAAAGAGCAGCTCTTCTTTGAGGACTTCTGGAATTGCCTTTTCCAAAGGGAGTCCGAGTGCTCTGTTGCCTCATTTTCTTCTTTTGCAGCCAGAGCAGGGAAAGAATAATACACTTTTTGTGCTTTTATATTTGACAGGAGTGAAATTAAGGGTCAGGTTAAATTCAATGGCTCCAAGATCAACGGATATTTTCTATGCCTATGAAGGCGTCTGTCTAGAAGAACATGCATTTAGGCTTTGGGGACCATTTGCTTAAAAGCATTTCCATCGGGGACGCCTGGTGGCTCAGTGGTTGAGTATCTGCCTTTGGCTCAGGTCATGATCCCGGGATCTGGGATCGGGTCCCACATCAGGCTCTGCAGAGGAAGCCTGCTTCTTCCTCTGCCTGTGTCTCTGCCTCTATCTCTCTCTGTGTCTCTTATGAATAAATTGATCTTTAAAAAAAAAAAAAGCATTTCCATGGGCCACAGAAGCTTCGTAGGAAACGGGCTTCAACTAGCAGAAGCCATCATACAAGAAGAGTATAAAATGGCCCTTCCCACATAGGCCACATCCCACTGAAGGGGGAACGGGGCCTGGCTCCCTTGAAGGACTCTGAGCAGACAACCTGCCCTGCCCACTGGCTCTGCACAGCCCTCGGATTTTGAATTTCTGGCTTTGGCAGAAGGCTCTGTCCCTGCCCAGGACAGGAGACTCACTGATGCATTCCCCACCTCCTGGATCCTGGTTGCACACACAGCTGTGGCTTAACCCCAGCGCTCGGCTTTGCGGCCTGGGCAGGACGTGTAGTTCCAGGCCAGCCTGAAAAGGGCAATGTGGAGGAGGGCTCCATTGTCCCTCCAGCCTTGGCCCACGGGGATCTGTCGGCAGGCACATCACCGGCGTTTCAAGGTTGACCAGACTATGTTGCTTTCGCGTGTGCTGCCGCGTGAGGCCATATTTCTCCCAAGCTGCACTGTGTCAGTGACATTTGTCCCTCCTAGGCCCCATCTTGTTTGGGTCAGCCTGTTGACTCACTTAATCATGACTCCTCTCAGCAGAAAGCTGGGTTTCTGGCTATTGCTGCTGATTCATGGTGGAAGAGATGCGGCCCGGTAAGACGGAGAGGAAGCCGGAATGATGCCCTGGCCGGCGTGGGGGTGGCATCTCCAACGTGGCCTTGCAAGTTCCTGATGACAGTGCTCTGGGGCCCAGGTCCTGGCCCGGGAAGGCCTTGGTACCTTAGTTCTCTAACTTTAGTTGACAGGCACCTGGGCAGCTTGTTAAAATGCAGATTTCCAGGTTCCTCCCACGGACATTCTGGGTGCAGCAAGGGGCGGCAGCGAGCTGCAGGTCAACCAGCCCTTCCTCCAGCAGCTGCACTAGCCTCGCAGGTGGTGCCCGTTCAGCTCCGGAGAGTCAGTAGGTTCTCTGAGGGGAGGAATCCCAAAGGGGTAGCAGCCACATTCAGAGAAGAGCTCACTGACTGTGGCCCTGACCTACAAGTGCAGTTGGATGGGGCCGAGAAGGTACGGTCTGGCCACGTGGAGGTTGGGTGTGGAGGGCTGGAGCTCTGTGCTCTCTAGAGAGGAGCAAGTGGCCATTGGCTGCTGGGCTTGAGCAGCAGAGCCTGCCCTAGCGAGTACACCCAGAGAGAGTCAAGTTTGGACCTGAATGTATTTGACAATGGGTTAATGGGTAGGTTAGAAAAAATCTGGCAAGTCAGTTTGAAATAAATTATTTCTCTTGCTGTAACCTGTTAACTTTTAATTTATTTTTTATTTTCTAATTTTTAAAAAGATTTTATTTATTTATTCATGATAGACATAGAGAGAGAGAGAGAGAGAGAGGCAGAGAGAGAAGCAGGCTCCATGCCAGGAACCCAATGTGGGACTCAATCCCGGGACTCCAGGACCACGCCCTGGGCCAAAGGCAGGCACCAAACCGCTGAGCCACCCAGGGATCCCCTCTGTTAACTTTTTAAAGTATCAAGTAGTACAAAGGGGACTGGCAGCCGGGGAAAGAACACGTCTCATCTGGCCCAGAAGAGTCACCTTGTTTCTTCCCAGGGGTCTTGGGAAAACAGCGATTCTCTTTGGATGAAGTCATTTCACTACCTTTGGGTGTACTAACCACACCATTCTGCTCTCATCTGAGACCACCATGCACCAGGACTTAAAATCCAAAGAGATTCTTCTGTGGCAATTCAAAGGACAGGAGTTTACCTTGGTAGACTTTCCTAGGACCCTTGTTTCTGTCTCGTGAACCCATTGTTCTTTTTTTTTTTTTAATTTTTATTTATTTATGATAGTCACAGAGAGAGAGAGAGGCAGAGACACAGGCAGAGGGAGAAGCAGGCTCCATGCACCGGAAGCCCGATGTGGGATTCGATCCCCGGTCTCCAGGATCGCGCCCTGGGCCAAAGGCAGGCGCCAAACCACTGCGTCACCCAGGGATCCCCCCATTGTTCTTTAAGAATGTTGGATAGCACATCTTTTTTTTTAAAAAAAGATTTTATTTATTTATTCATAAGAGAGAGAGAGAGAGAGAATGGCAGAGGGAGAAGCAGGCTCCCTGATGTGGGACTCGATCCAGGGTCTCCAGGATCACACCCTGGGCCGAAGGTGGGGCTAAGCTGCTGAGCCACCTGGGCTGCCCTGGATAGCACATCTTTATGAACATTTAAAAAACTTTATGTTTTGGGGGTCCCTGGGTGGCTCAGTCAGTTAAACATCTGCCTCTGGCTCAGGTCATGATCTCAGGGTCCTGGGATCGAGCCCTGCATCGGGCTCTCTGCTCAGTAGGGAGTCTGCTTCTCCCTCTCCCTCTGTCTGCCGCTCCCCCTGCTTATTCTCTCCCCATCTCTCTGTCAAATAAATAGGTAAAATCTCTTTAAAAATTTTAAAAGAAAAAGACAAAAATAAAAATAAAAAATTTAAAAGAAACAAAACCTTTACGTTTTGAATAGGTAATTTACTCACATAGTACAAAATTCAAATGGTACAAAATAGTATCTCCTACCTCCTCTTCCCTATTGCGAGCTGCTCACTTGCCCCTACCACCTCCATTTATTGTTTCTGGTTTAATATTCATTTAAAAACCAATAGTACTTCCCTGGATCCCTGGGTGGCTCAGCAGTTGGGCATCTGCCTTCAGTCCAGGGTGTGATCCTGGAGTCCCGGGATCAAGTTCCACATTGGGATCCCCGCAGGGAGTCTGCTTCTCCCTCTGCCTCTGTCTCTGCCTCTCTCTTTGTGTCTCTCATGAATAAATAAGTAAAATCTTTAAAAATATGTATTAGCAAATAGAAGTCAGCAGTACATAAAAATATAAACCATGAAAAAAATGGGTTTGTTCTAGGAATCGAGACAATACACAAAAGTCAATGTATTTTTATATCCTAGCAATGAATTGAGGATATCAAAATTTAAAACAATACCATTTAAAATGCTCCAAAGAATGAGATATGGAAGTATAAATACAATGAACATGTACAGGATTCACATGCAGAAAACTTTACAGTACTGATGAAAGAAGTCAATGATCTAAATAAATGGAGACCCATACTATACTGTTCAGGGATTGAAGAACTTGAAAAGTAAAAATGTCAGTTTCCCCCAAATTGATACACAAATTTAGTACAATTCTTATCAAAGTCCCAGTTAGATTTTTGCAGAGGAAAAGATTATTCTAAAATTTATGTGAATAGACAAGGAAAATAGAGTAGCAAAAACAATTTTGAAAAGGAAAAATAAGATGGGAAGATATAGCGTAATGAAACATAAGAGAGAATCCAGAAATAGATCCACACAACTATGCCAAACTGATGTTTGACAAAGGTGCAAAAGCAATTTAAGGCGGAAAGGAAAACATTCCCAAAAAAGGGTTCTGGAGCAATTCATAGGCAAAATTCATAGGCAAAACAAAAAACAAAAAACCCACTATCGCTTTGACCGTCTTGCATTGTATACAAAACTCAAAATGGATCATGGACTTAAAATGTGAAAAATAAAATTATCAAACCATTAGGAAAACAAAAACAGGAGAAAATCTTTGGGTTCTGGGATAGGATAAGAGTTCCAAAACTTGACACCAAAAGCATTACCCGTAAAAGGAAAGATCGATAAATCAGCCCTTATCAAAATGAAACCCAGTTCTCTCTGCAAACACCCTGTGAAGAGGATGAAGAGACAACTAGGAGAACAGAAGGTATTTGCACACCACAATAACAGGACTAGCATCTAAAATGTGTAAAGAACTCTCAAAACTCAATAGTGGAAGAACAGACAATAAAATTTGAATATGGACAAAGACAGTAGAGCCTGTGACTCGATCTCAGGGTTTTAAGATTGAGTATAGAAATTATTTAAAGATAAAATCTTAAGGGGATCCCTGGGTGGCTTAGCGGTTTAGCACCTGCCTTTGGCCCAGGGCGTGATCCTGGAGACCCAGGATCGAGTCCCACGTCGGGCTCCCTGCATGGAGCCTGCTTCTCCCTCTGCCTGTGTCTCTGCCTCTCTTTCTATCATAAATAAGTAAATAAATCTTAAAAAAAAAGATAAAATCTTAAGGAGAAGGAGAAGAAAAGAAAGAAGAAGGTGAACAAAAGACATGAAGAGACATTTTACCAAAGAGGATATACAGATGCAAAGATGTTCAGCATCATTAGCCATTTGAGAAACACACGTTGAAACCACCGTTTAGCCATCAGCGTGGCTAAAATAAAAAGTCGTGACACCACCAAATGCTGGCAAAGACCCAGAACAACTGGATCACTCCTCCATTGCTGCTGGGAATGTAGAAGCTACAGCTACTCTGGAAGGCAGTCTGACGGTTTCTTAAAAACTAAATCTGCATCTACTGTATGACCCGGTGACTGTTCCCGTGGGCATTTACTCAAGAGAAACACAGATTTGCACAAAAACTTGTACAAGAATGTTCATAGCAGCTTTATTTGTCATGATCCCCACTGGAAACAATGCAGGTGCCCTTCAATAGTTGAGTGGTTAGGGACACCTGACCTGGCTCAGTCAGTAGAGTGTGGGACTTGGGGTCTCGGGGCTGTGAGTTCAAGCCCCACATTTGGGTGTGGAGCCTACTTTAAAACAAACAAACAAAAAAACAGTTGAATAGTTAAACTGTGGCATCCTCGTGCCACGGAATACAGTCCAGCAATAAAAAAAGAACAAATTATTGATCCCTGCAACAATTTGGATGAATCTCCAGAGAAATATGTTGGGTGAAAAAAAAAGCAATCTGAAAAGATCATATACTGTGTGACTCTATTTATATAACATTCTTGAAGTGACAAAATGATAGAGATGGAGAACAGATTCGTGGTTAAAGAGGGTGTGCGGTGGCACGGAAGTAGGTGCGGCTCTAAAGGGTAACACGCGGGATCCCTGTGGTGATGGAAATGTTCTAGATTTTCCCTGCATCTGTGTCCATATCCTGATTGTGATATGGGGCCATAGTTTTGCAAAACGTTACCATTGGGGGAAATTGGGTAAAAGGTTGCAGGGCATCCTCCTGTGTTATTTCTTAACTGCATTTAAATCTACAATCATTTCAAAATAAACATTTAATGAAAAACTCCCAGGGGCGCCTGGGTGGCTCAGTCAGTCAAGCACCTGCCTTCGGCTCAGGCCACGATCTCAGGGCCTGGGATGGGGCCCTGTGTTAGGCTCCCTGCTTACGGAGTCTGCGTCTCCCTCTCCCTCTGCCTCCCCCCCCCCCCCAGCTCATGCTTTCTCTCAAATAAATAAAATCTTTTCAAAATAAGGAACTGTCAGGAAGCACCATGAGACCTAGGGGTGAGGACGCTGCATTTGCAGAACCTTTGTGGACCTCGCCATACTGCTGGGGGATCTGAGCAGCACCTGCTGCCCTGGGTCCCGGCCTGGCAGCCCCGCCGGAGGGCTTCTTCCTCAGCAGTGTGGCGGCTGTCCTTGGGGCGCGGGGTGGTGAGTGTGCCCTGGTGGCCAAGGGTGCCCCCATCTGCCTGCCCGGATCCGAGGCCCCGTGCGAGGCCCCCCCCCCCCCATGTGAGCCGGCCTTTGCTCACTGCTTCTTTCTCTCCCGCAGGCCTGAGCCCCTGGGTCGCGGCGCCCCCTTGCTCCCCGGCAGCCGGCGTGCTTTCTCCGATGAGGTGAGGCCGGTGAGTGCAGCCCGGCCGCCTGGACACCGGCCCACCGCAGCCCTAACCATGGCCCTAACCTGGGCCCGGTCGCCCTCCGAGGGGCTGCAAGGTTGGGGGTTCAGGGGGGAGGCTCTGGAGCCCCAGCCTGGGTTTGAGCCCCAGCTCCACCACTGCCTGACTCCTCAGGGCTTGCAGGAAATCGGTTTCCCCGCTAACATGGTAACGGGGTGTAAGAGTCCTGCTCACTGTGGGCCTCGCGGTGGGTATTAAACGCGTGCACTGTGCCTTGCACGTGGTAGAAAATGACAAATGCCATGTGACAAGGGAGGTGATCATGGGGATTGCGGAGGAGGACACCGAGGCCCAGGAGCAGGGAGTGACGCCCCATGTAGCTCTGTCCCTGGGTGGCAGCACCTGGCTTAGAGCCTGGCCTCCTGATTCTGGCTGCCAGCCTTTTCCGCCCTCCCGCGGTGCCTCTCTAACCTAGAGGCAGGCTGCCGAGTAATCGAGTAATCGTTACTGCCCCGAGGACGCTTGGTCGCTGTGCTTGGGATCCTCGGTTCCTAATGTGGGGTCTCACCTTCTAAAACAGGTTGGCAGCAAAGCTGTCCTGGTCACAGGCTGCGACTCGGGGTTCGGGTTCTCCTTGGCCAAGCATCTGCACTCGAAAGGCTTCCTTGTGTTTGCCGGCTGCTTGATGAAGGTAAGAGATGCTCGTCTTTGTTACCATCGTACTTTATGTGTAGTTATTGTAGGGTCTTAAAAATTATAGTAAAATACACATAACATGAAATTTGCCTTAACGGTTTTTGTTTTTTTTTTAAGAGAGAGACTGGGGTGCGGAAGGGTGGAGGGAGACCTTCTCTTGACCCTGAGATCGTGACCTGAGCTGAAATCAAGAGTCAGACACTTAACCAATTGAGCCACCCAGGAGCCCCTGCCGTCTTAACCATTTTTAAGTGTGTCACTCAGTGGCATTAAATACATTCACGTTGTCATATGTTGTACGACCATTACCCCCATCCATTCCCATAACACTTTTCACCCTGTAAACCTGAAAAATCTATACCCAATAACAATAACTGTCCATTTCCCCCTCTGCCTGCCCCCCTGGCCACCACCATTACAATTTCTGTCTTTATGCATCTCTCTATGCTAAGTACCCCAGAAAAAGTAGTTTTTTACAGTATTTGTCTTTTTGTTGACTGGCTTATTTCACTTGGCATAACGTCCTCGAAGTTTGTCCATGTTGTCGCACATTACAGACTATTTTTCCTTTTTAAGGCTAAACTCCATGACATGTATGTATATCACATTTTGCTTCCTTCATGTCGTTGGAAACTTGGATTGCTTCCAAGTTTTGGCTATTATGAATAGTGGCACTTTGAACACCAGCGTACAGGTATGTCTGAGACCCAGCTCTCGGCTCTTCCCACCGGAGAGCTGGAAGTACGATTGCTAGGTCACCCGGTAATTCTATTTTTAACCAAGGAACCACCGTACCGTTTTCCACAGTGGCCGCGTCATTTTTCCATTCTCACCAACAGTGTACGAGAGTCACAGTTTTTCCACATCCTCACCAATATTCCTTTTTCCGTCGCTGCGTGTGTGGTAGCGATCTGAAATGCCCGTGAGGCGGTATCTCATTGTAGTTTTGACTTGCATTTCCCTAATGATTAGTGACGCGGAGCATCTTTTATGTGCTTATTGACCATTCATGTATCTTCAAAGTTTGGAGAAGTCTCTATTCAAGTTCTTCGCCCAGTTTTTTTTGTTTGTTTGTTTTTTGTTTTTTTTTTTTTCGTTTTTTTTTTTTTCTTCACCCAGTTTTAAGCTGGATTGTTAATTTGTTGTTACTGAGTTTTAGGACTTAGATATTCTGAATATTAATTCCTTATCCGGTATATGATTTGCAAATATTTTCTCCCATTCTATGATTTTTTTTTTTTTACTCCATGGGTATTGTCTCTTGATGAACAAAATTTTAAAATTTTTATGAAGTCCAGTTTGTCCATTTTTTTCTTTTGTTACCTGTGCTTTTGATGTCATGTCCAAGAAATCATTGCCAAATCCAAGGTTGTGATGCTTTTGTCCTGTTTTCTTCTAAGTGTTTTATTTTTGGGGGTCTGTAAACCCCACACGCACATGCACACACATATAATCCATGAGGTTACACTGACCTCCGATTCCAGTTCAGCACAGTAGCACTCTTCCTCGCTTCCCTTATTCCACATTGGTTTCTTCCTTTTCCTGCTCTTGGGGCCCAGTGCTATCAATCCACTCACTCATTAGGTTGATCCTACAATGCAGACTCCATTGCTTCAGAATCGCTACAGTCAATTGCAAACGCGGGCGTACTAAGTTGTGTCAGCTTCCTTACTCCAACAAGCAGATGTCAAAATAGGCTAGGATGCGCAAGAGATTGATTTGGGAAGTGCCTGTAATGGCTAAAGGGGAAGAGGGCAGGAAGAGGCAGGAACGTTCTTGAGATTGCGGTGCCTTTCTGGGGCGCCTGGCTGGCTCCGTGAAGCCACGGAGGTCTCAGGGTCATGAGTTTGAGCCCACTCTGGGTGTAGAGGTTAGTTGAATAAGTAAAAACTAAAACAAACAAACAAATAAATAAAATTTTTTATTTTTTATTTATTTATTTTTTTTAAATAATTTTTTTTAAAAAAATAATTAATTGCAGTGGCATTCTGTGAAGTGGGGAGGAAGGAGGATTAGGTAGGCGGAGTTCTCACTGTGGTTCATCTGAGAGGCTCTTTTGGGACGATCGGGCATCCTGAGGCAAAGCTTACCTGCTAGAGAAGACCTGCCTGGGGCAGGAATGGCCCAGTGTGTCTGCGTGCTCGGCCGGCCGCTGGCTGAGAGCAGCCCAGGCCAGTGTGGCCTCGGCATGACATTCACGCTGTCGTGGATCTAAAGATGAGGCAGCCAGAGACCTGTCATCTGCTCCTACGGGAGGTTGTCCTGAAAGGAGATCTATTACAGTAGAGCTTTAAGCTTTCTGTAGTGTTTTTTATGTATTGACTGCCAGTACCCAAAGTACTGTGTTTAAAAGTTATCTGGACAATATCCAAGAAATAGTCATAAAGAAACAATCAGAAATACAGCCAGAGATTTATAGTATTTATAGTATTTCTTTTTTTTTAATTTTTTTTATTTATTTATGATAGTCACACAGAGAGAGAGCTAGAGAGAGAGGCAGAGACATAGGCAGAGGGAGAAGCAGGCTCCATGCACCGGGAGCCCGACGTGGGATTCGATCCCGAGTCTCCAGGATCACGCCCTGGGCCAAAGGCAGGCACTAAACCCCTGCGCCACGCAGGGATCCCCAGTATTTATAGTATTTCGATCATGGTTGAAATACTATTTGTAATAGTAAAAAAATTGGGAATATGGGACGCCTGGATAGGTGGCTCAGCGGTTGAGCCTTCGGCTCAGGGCATCATCCCGGGGTCCCGGGATCGAGTCCCGCGTCGGGCTCCCTGCATGGAGCCTGCTTCTCCCTCTGCCTGTGTCTCTGCCTCTCTCTCTCTGTCTCTGTGTGTCTCTCATGAATAAATAAATAAAATCTTAAAAAAAAATGGGAATAACCTAAATGACCAGCAATGGAGGAATTGCAGAATAAACGATGGTAGAGCCATAATGGGAACTATTAGGATCTTCATTACGAATGAATAAGTGAATGAATGTTACTTGGATTAAGTTTTAATTTTCTTTGTCATTATTTTATTCATTTGAAATACAGTTTGATTCATTTATTTGTTTAGATTTTGTTCCCTTCATTCTCGTTGATTTTGGAACATGTAAAACCTTAAGGAGGCTCTAACGTCAAATTACATTAAAAGGTACAAAGTAGGGATCCCTGGGTGGCGCAGCGGTTTAGCGCCTGCCTTTGGCCCGGGGTGTGATCCTGGAGACCCGGGATTGAGTCCCATGTCGGGCTCCCGGTGCATGGAGCCTGCTTCTCCCTCTGCCTGTCTCTGCCTCTCTCTCTCTCTCTGTGTGTGACTATCATAAAAAAATAAAAATTTTTTAAAAAATAAAAGGTACAAAGTAGTCTTACTCTCCCACTCCATTCTTTCCCCTCCATTCTTTTGTTTTCCCCTCCCCGCACAAGTGTTTGTATCCTGCATGGACTCTTTTGAGCTTTTTAAAAAAAGGCTTTACGATATCTTGGAAATCACTCCCTGTAAGTACATAGAGACTTCCTCATTTTTTTTAAACAGCATCATTGTGCTCCATTGTGTGGTTAGAACATAGCTTATGCCACCAGTCTCCTATATTTAGCATATAGGAGATAACGTTTAGGGTAATTTTCAATGTTTTACAATTATAAGTAATGCCACAATGAATTACCTTGCGTGTATTTATTTTTGTATTGCTCGGAGTTTATCTTAAGGGTGAATTCTTAGAAGTGAGATTACTCTTATATCAAGGGTTAATAAAATATGTCATGATTTTTAAAGATATCCCCACATTTTTCATCATAGGGGCTCTGTAATTTTACCTTCCCGCCAGTAATATATGAGAGTATCTGTTTCCACATAATTTCACCAGCGGTGTACTTTAAGCTTTTGATTTTTGCTAATCTGATAGGTGAGAAATGTATCCCAATGCAATTTGAATTTACATTTTTTCTGTTGTGAGTGCATGCAGTAAGAATCCAGAGAAGGAATTATTTTTATACTAAGCTTAATATCTCTAAAAACAGTGTCTGTTCAATGCAAAAATTTTAACAATTAAAAACAAATAAAAATAATAGTCATTTGCATTGCCATGATTTGAACATATTTTCAGATCAGAGAGGATTTATTTGTCCTGTTAATTTTTTCCTTCTTTGGAATTATGAAAATAATACATATTTCTAATAGATTCAAACCACACAGAAGTAGGTGGTATAAAAAAGTGAAGTCTTTTTACTGCAGTCTCTTGCCCCGAGGTAGCTAAAATATATGTGTGCACATTATTTGTGACTTTTACTATTATAATCAAAGCCACGGTGAGCAGTCGTACTCCTATCTTTGCCTGCTTTCCTTAGTAATCCTTAGGACATTTTTCTAGGTGTGAAAATATTGGGTAGAAAGGTGTGCAGATTTTAGGTTTCATTCAGATCCATCAAACTGCTGCTCCCCAAAGCCATCCCAGTGCTTACTCCCTCTGACCATGCATGCAACAACCTGCTTTGGGGTGGATTCCCGGGTGATGGGTGGGGCAGGCTGGGAGCTGGGTTCTCTGCATAACGTGGGCCTGCTGCAGCAGGTCCGGGCAGGCGCTGCGACGCCACAGAGTGTTTCATGCCACCTGTGCGGTCCTGCTGGCTTGTCCGGTGATGCAGGGGCTGCATCCTGACCACAGTGGGGGGCAGAGGCTGCCGAGGGCTGTGGAGGAGCCTTTGAGAGAGAGAGAGAGAGAGAGAGAGAGAGAGAGAGAGTCAGAGCCTTGGATTCTAGTCCCGGATCAGCCGTGAGCCCAGGGACTAGGCAAATGCTTCCCCTCCCTGCCTTTACTTAGAATTAGGGGGTTGGACTGGGTGCGCCCAAGTCCTGCCAGCCTCCAGTGCGGATTCTCCTGTAGACACTGGTGTTTTCTTTTCTTTTTTGTAAGATTTTATTTATTTATTCAAGAGAGATACAGAGAGAGAGGCAGAGACAGCCACAGGCAGAGGGAGAAGCAGGCTCCGTCCAGGGAGCCCGACGTGGGACTCCATCCCGGGTCTCCAGGATCATGCCCTGGGCTGAAGGCAGCGCTAAACTGCTGAGCCACCCGGGCTGCCCTGGTGTTTTCTTCAAAATACCAGATGAGGTCACTGCCGGATTATGTCTGTTGGTGCTGCTTGTTAACTATTTTGGTGTCACGGTGTGTATTTTCTGGTCAAAAGCTAGGAAGTCACTAGGGGTTTGAATTAATTATGCAGATCGGAGAGTCAGAGCCACTGGAGGCCATGGATAAACCTTCCAGCCTGCATCTGCCATATTAGGCCACATGGTGGATTCTGGCTACATCTGTACCCAAAACTCAGTCTGCTTCCTCCTCTTGTGCTTCAGATCGCGGTGCCTTGGGCCAACGCAAGGACTTGGCTCCAGCATATGTCTCTATTCTCCTACATCAATAACTGCTCACTCTCTACCGGATCATCTGCACTCACTGACAACCTCACACCCCGTGTGCATTTTTCTGCCCGCTCCCCCCCCCCAATTGTTTTATTAGGTATTTTCACCTATTTACTTCCTGTTTTCTTTTCAACCCATAGGGATTGGGCTTTGGGCCCCACCACTCTGTTCATTTGTTCTTTCATTCAGCAAATACCTATTGAGTACCTACAAGAGCCAACAATGTTCTCCTTTGGAGGTACAACATGTACCAATTCAGTGAAAAGTTCTTGCCCTTGTGGAGCTTACGTGGGGGAGAGGAGACACGCAGGGAGGTAGATAAATAAGTAAATTGCTTTCCTATGGGATGGTGAAGCTATAGGGGGTCTTTGGTTTTAGAGAAGAAAGAAAGATCTTACCTGGAAAGTGACATTGGAAGGAGGTAAGGGAGCAAGTCTTGTGGATAGGAGGGGTAAGAAGGGCAGCCAAGTCAATGCCCCAAAGGAAAGTGTGTGCTTTTTTTTTTTTTTTTTTTTAAGATTTTATTTATTTATTCATGAGAGACACAGGCAGAGAGAGAAGCAGGCACCATGCAGGGAGCCCGATGTGGGACTGGATCCCAGGACTCCAGGATCACGCCCTGGGCCAAAGGCAGGTGCTCAGCCGCTGAGCCCCCCAGGGGTCCCAGGGTGTGTGCTTTGTGCTAGACAACAGCAGGAGGCCTCTGTGGCCGCAGTGAGGGGGGTGGTGGTGTAAGGTGAGAATGGAGTTGGGGGACAGATCTTATATCATAGAAGGGACAGATTGCCTCTCTGTGGGTGCAAGGGAAGGCTTGATGGGCCAACGTGGCATCTCATTGCCATCTGGAAGGACAAACGGAGTTCCCCGTGATGGATGGTGGCAGCATATTTAGACAGCATCGGTAGTTTGAGGAAGCTGAAGCCCAGAGCCCTCATGGAGTAAGAGGAGACCAGCTGGGAAAAGGAGGCAGGGCCAGCCCAAGAGGGGCCCAGGGTGCCTCTGACATGGCTTTTATCAAGGATTCCGGTGGCCCCCATTTTGCTAGATCTGTTGGCCACTTCTCAGACCATATGAATACTGACCGTATCAGCAGCTTTAACCAAACAAGCTAGCCCGTGTGTTGCACTTTGTGTCGTGACTTTCGGGCGCCCCACTGTCTCGGTTTCCCTTCGGCTCCCTTGCCAGCTGCTCCTGCTGCTCATCCTGTGACTATTACCGTGGCCCAGGCTTGCTCCTCTTCCGTGTTTCTTGTACATGTGATAGATGCTCACGCTTAACGTGCTGAGGGTCCTCCCTCCTGCCTCGGGGTGCTAGGCCACCTACCAGGGCCTGCCAAGAGTCCTGAACCCTTTCTGCCAGGTTTAGTCCATCACCTGCCTCAATATGGTACGAGACAGAGGCGGAAGAGGCTTGAGAGGTTGGGCAGAGTTGTTAGCTGTGCTGTGCTGTTTCCCTCTGGTCTCGGGTGAAGTGAGGTGGCCTTCAAGAAAACCACTTGGAAAAAACAGACTCTCCTTAATTTGAAACTAATAGAGCACCATACGTTAACTCATAGGAATTAAAATAAAAACTTAGGGCATCCCAGATGGCGCAGTGGTTTAGTGCCGTCTTCAGCCCGGGGCGTGATCCTGGAGACCCGGGATCGAGTCCCACATTGGGCTCCCGGTGCATGGAGCCTGCTTCTCCCTCTGCCTGTGTCTCTGCCTCTCTCTCTCTCTCTCTGTCTCATGAATTAAAAAAAAAAAAAAAAAAAAAAAAAGACTACAGATTAAGGAACAGAGGAGGAGGAGCTAGAAAATAGGGAGGCAGTCCTCACCACTGCACCCCCCACCCTGACCCCGGCGTCCCATGGGCTTCCCGCTGTCCCTCAGGCCTGGGTCAGGGCAGCCTTTAGATTGATACAAGTTTGAGGGTTCGGGTCGTGAGAGCAGGCTGGGCTGGAGTTACTTGATCAGTAGCCTGACGTGGACTCTTTAGATCAAACAAAGAGACTCTCTGTTGTCTGAGCATGTGTGGAAACATGGCAACAAGTGCCTACAGTCTCATCCAGGGTAGAAAAAAGAACTTACAGGTGAAAGTTAAAGGGATAATGAAGGAAGTGGTTTTAGGGGTGAACCAGCTGCCTAGGCCCCAACAGCAGGACTGAGAGCTTGTCCCTGAGCAGCAGGACAGGACGACAGGACGGAGGCCCTGGAGCAGGGAGGCCGCGGACCTGGAGGGGAGGGCCTCTGTTCTGCAGGGCCGTGGGACTGGTCTGCTCCCTCCCTCCCGTGCCCCGCAACGCGCTCTCCACGTGACTGTCCGCAGCACCTTCGGCCACACCTGCCACGGTCCCCTTGCATTCTCTCTCCGTGTCCCCCTGACCTGACACGATGATGTCCGCTCCTGGGGTTGGGGTCCCCCGGCTCAGAGCACTCATGAGGCTGACACACACCGACGTCCTGTCTTCCTCCTCCGGTGCCAGCCCTGGAGCCGGGAGCAGCCTTTCCCTCTGCCTGGACCCCGGGCAGCTCCTGCCGTCCCCTGCCGGCTGTGCGACTGTCCCTACGCCGCTAGCACCGTCCCTGTCGTTACACTACAGCCGAGAGTGCTGACTTTCACATGCCTTGTAGCTTGTCCCTCGAGTGGAAATGTGGGTCCAGAGTAGATGGAGCTGGGTAAGGGGAGCTGCCCCGCGCTGGGGACTAACGGGAAAGGCACGCCCGGCGCTCCCACGGTGAACGGTGCCAGGTGTTATTCGTGCCCCCCAGTCGCTCACCACTGGCCCCCAGGGAAACCCCTGCCCGCCTCCCCACCTCCTGGGCAACCTCTGCTCCGCCCACAGAGGCCTTACCTCTCCCTGAAATGTCCTGTTCTCAGGGCACCTCTGGTCCACAGCCTCGGCTGTCACTGCCTTCAGAGGCTGCCCTGTCCCTCCCACCTTGTGGGCAGCGTCCCCCCTCCTGCCAGCTTTCATGCCACAGATACCGCCCACATCATTTGCTTATGCGTCTGCCCCCTTATGCGTCTGCAAAAACACGCCTCTTTGAGGACAGGGGCTGAGGTGTTTCTGTGTCTCCAGCGCCTAGCACAGTGCTGGACCATGATGTATGCTGAGTGGGACCCTTTCTTAGGTTTCATAATACCTGGATTTGCATCGTGCTTTATAGTCTCACAGGTTTTTAGTAAGGATAATTTCCTTATTCCATTAACCTGGGCAGGTTAGGACAGGTGGCAATGTCCTTATTTCTAAGCTGGAAAAACTGGGCACCTGTTGAAGGGCCGTACCTGAGGGCTCAAAGCCTGGGTAGTGACCCAACTGGAATTAGAGCCTGCTCTGGCCTCTGGTTATCTTGGCGGTGATGGGCCCTTGACTTAGGACAGAGGTGACAGGCCGGTGGCTCACTAGTCACATGTGGCTTGTGGGTGTGCTCTGGCTGCACAGTGTTTTTTTTTTTTTTTTTTTTTAATGTAAGTTGCCAACACTTAAAAAATTGGGAAATCCTAGTTGCCAGCTTCAAATCTGAGGACGTGGCAGGCCCGATTACACCCGCACCCACACGGGCAGCAGCTGGCGGGGATGAGAGGAAGGCATGTGCCCCATTCCCAAGCCCCTGCCCTCCCTGTTGTCTGATTCCCACATGCCTCATCGTCGTCGTTGGGTAGCTACTGACTTTGCAACTTCCACTTGGAGAAAGCCTCTTGCCAGAGGGGCCGGGGGCCGGGGGCCGGTGTCTCTGGCACTTGGTTTGGCTTGAGACGCCGTCAGCGCTAGGATTGAACAGAACCACGTGCGGTGCAGCCCCAGTGGGTCTCCGGAGCACGCGGCCGGCCACGGGTCGTTGTGAGTGGGCCGCAGGCTTCAGCAGGGCCCCGGCCCTGGTCCTCGGGCTGGAGGCAGGCGACGGGAGTGTATCCAAGCGGCCCCCTTCTCCTCCCCAGGACAAAGGAGGCGACGGGGTCAAGGAGCTGGATGGCTTGAAGAGCGATCGATTAAGGACCATCCAGCTCAACGTCTGCAAAGGCGAGGAGGTGGAGAGAGTGGTGGAGGTCGTCCACTCCAGCCTGGAGGACCCTGAGAAAGGTAGGCGGCACCCTGGCCAGCGGGGTGCTGCAGCAGCCGTCCTCAGGGCGCCTCGCCCCCCATTGGCCACTGTCCTGCCAAAAGTCCCCTTTCCCTGTAGTTGAAGCTCTTCCTCTTGCACGGTGAGGAAATGTGAAGGAGAGGGGTGGTGGGGTGCCCCGACGCTGACCCACTGAGGCAGCGCCCACAGAATGCCCACTCCAGACCAAGTGGTGGGGACTCCCAGACGGCCGGGACGCAGTCCTTGTCCCCAGGGCCCTTCCAGGTGGATGGGAGGCTAACCCAGGGGATTTCCGCAGCCCTCTCAGGAAGCGGCCTGGGGCGGAGGGAGCCCGGCTGGAGTGGGGTGGGGAGCCTGTTGGTGAGGGCAGGTGGTGGTGCAGGGCCGGAGGTGTCCGGAGGGGGCAGAGCCAGCAGCGCTGGGAGGTGCACGGGGTGTGCTGGGTGCTGGGGGCCAAGGTGGTGACAGCAAGTGCGGGGGAGGAGGGAGGTGGCCCAGGGCGGGGTTCCGGGAGGGGGGAATGCCCTGCCAGCTGGGGGAGGTGGCCTAGTGTGGATGGTGGAGCCTGAGTGCTGGGGCACAGACCTGGGGTGCTGGGGGTGAGGACGGCTGGAGGGGGCGGGCGCAGCTGGGGCCGGGTGGTGGATGTGCGGGGGATGACGGAGGGGCGTGGGGGCCTCTCCAATGCCTGGTGCTCCCCTCCTCAGCTGGAGGGGTGTTGGGGTGGAGGGGAGGCTCCAGGTGCAGGTGCAAGGAGAGCCTCCTGGGCACGCGAGCAGTCAGGGGCTGGGGATGGGGCAGGTGGCCCAAGAGATGTCTGGGGGCGCCAGGCTGCGGAGGAGCCGGCGGGCGGGGGGGGGGCTCGGGACACAGCACCTGTTGGCCCATTGCCACCACCATCCCGAGGCGGGCCGGGTCAGGCCACCCTGCCGTTGGAGGAGAGGCCCCCGAGCGCCCTCCCGGGAGAGAAGGCAAGCTGGGCGGCGGACTCCTTCGCGGAGATTTACTGCGCCCCAAAGGACCGTCTCCGCAGAGCTGGGCACTGCTAGGCCCTTGCCAGGGACGGAAGCGCCCGCGAGCCGGTGTAGCCGCGGGGTGGGGTGGCAGGCCTGGCAGGGTGCACTGCAGGGGAGGCACCCCCACACCCCAACCCCACTCGGGTTGCGCTCAGGCCTCACCGCTCCCCCCCCCCCCCCAATGCAGAAACCTTTCCATCTTTAGCATCTGGAGACACGGCGTTTGTAGACATGCATTCATCTGACAAACATTTCTTGAGCATCTCCTGTGCCCCAGTGTTGCAGGGAGGGAGCCAGGGGCAAGAGGCGGGTTGAAGTTGCATAAAAAAAGAAGAATGAGCCCAGGCTAATGGTTTGGGAGGCGGAGGCTGAAAGCGTCAGCCCTGGCAGGTGGTAGGAAGCCGCTTGCTCTTCCTGGGAAGCAGAGAGGGGTGAGGACCCCCCTGGAGAGGTCTGCAGGGTGGGGTGGGGGGCTGTAGCGGCTGCATCAGCACGAGGTCACTGGGGGACCTGAGGGCCTGACGCTTCAGCTCAGCCGCTGTGGGGAGTGGGAGTGAGAGCTTCACGAACACTTTGTTAACCAGCAATTTCCTTCCCTGATAAATGTCCTGAATTCCCCATAATTGAAGGAGAAGGCGCCAGAGGTCAGTTGAAGCTTTAATTTGGGTAACGCGGAAGGAAAGCAGCGAGATACCAATTATTCTGTCACTTACACAAACTCATTTCCATGATTAAGTTGGAAGGAGAAGCAGGGCCGGGTTCCCGCAGGCAGGAGGACCACGAAGGACATCTCTGCCCTGAGGCTGCAGGCCCTGCAGTCCCCACACCCCACAACCGAACCTGGACGGCCCTGCAAACAAGGCTGCCCCCTTGGTGCCGCCTCCCCTAATCCGGCTCTGCCTCTGATTTCCTGGGTGCACTGAAGCCGTCCTCTTCAGGGCCTCGGCTTCCCTGGCTGTAAAGTGGTTGCCAAAGCTCCAGGGATCCTTCTAGCACCGGTGTCCACGGAGTCCACAGAAGCCATCTATCCCCTACCTGGTCTTACAGGAAACGTTCAACCCAGGTGTACTCAGTGTATGTGTGCTCCAACGCCGTGCTCCACCCGGGACCACACAGGGCGATAGGTGCTCTCTACCTGCAGAGACCAGGTGTATACATGTGGGCTGCGGGGCTCAGCAGTGACAACCGGCAGATAGTGTGTGTTTCGGCGACGGGAGATGGGAGAAAGGAATAATGGCCCGGGGGTCTCTGGATGGAGCAGGACTGGGGCTCCACCTGAGGCCAAGTCTTAGCTGAGCCTCTAACTGCTGCGTGACCTCGGATGCTGGGTCCTCTCGCTGGTCCTCCGGAGACCAGGAGGCCTGGCCTGGAGCACTCCTGAGGTTCTCCTGGCTTCTGGTCGAATGCAAGCAGAGGTGCAGAGGCAGGAATGCTTATGCAGCACAGGGTGCGGGATGTGACCGTGTGGAGCAGAGTGGGAGTGAGCAAGCCGAAGGGGGGCTCCAGGCTGGGGACCCCTGGTGGGCGGGGTCCAGGTGGGTCCCAAGAGTCTGTGCAGGTAGGTGGAGATGATAATTGGATGTTTTAGACTTGAGGGAAGGTCACAGCCAGCACTGTAGGCCTCTCTGTCTCCTGTTGTTCTTGGTGACTCTAGAAAGAGTCCCGAAAGCCTTGGACAACAAGTGGCAGGTTTTGGGGGAAAGACACAAAAGTGAGGAGGGGAACGGGCTGCAGGCTGGTGCGTGATGTGTGAGGCCAGGCCTGCGTGGTGACTGCGGTCTGTCCCATCCCATCCAGGCGTATGGGGCCTGGTTAACAACGCGGGCATCTCGACGTTCGGGGAGGTGGAGTTCACCAGCATGGAGACCTACAAGGAGGTGGCGGAGGTGAACCTCTGGGGCACCGTGCGGATGACAAAAGCCTTTCTCCCGCTCATCCGGAGGGCCAGAGGTGAGTTGGAAAGGGATGTCCTCCCGTCCCACCTCTTCAGCTTTGCTTAGAACGGAAAGAGGTCCCAGCGGAGCCGACATCCACACCCCAGTGAGGCTGAGCGCAGGACTGTCAGCTGCTGCGCGGGTCCTGGGGACGGTGGAGGTGCCGTGGCCAGGTGGGCGGAAGGGGACGTGTGGTTCCAGAAAGGAGGGCAGCCAAGATGTCAGCAGTCTCAAAGGCTGAAAGCACAGCAGCATCCCACTCTGGGAACCTAATCTAGAACCTAATCTGGGAACCTTGTGCACAGAGCTGTGGGTGTACGTCACCTGTCGATACAGGCGTGGTTAAGTAAACTTGGGCTCATCTGTTGTATGGGTTACTATGGCATAGTAACCCCAAAATAAGACAATTGCCGTAGCAGCTAAAATACAGTAATAATAATAATAACCAAGATTAGGAATTTGGAAAAGAGACAAAACACTCAAACCGTGTTAGGGAGCTAAGAAGTCACTTACTTAGATTTCCCCTCGCCCCAGGGAGCAAACAATGATGGCAGAAAGGGGATGATCCATAGATCTCTCCCAAAGGTGCAGCAATGAGGATGAACCCAGAGAGCAGCTGTAGGGTTTTAAAAGAAAACCTGACCTTTCAGTGGCTTCCAACTTCAAGGTTGGAAAAGGGGCTTCCCTGCGGTGCCCAGGATGGGGCTGGGCCCCAGCTTCCTGAATGCACACCCAGGGCCAGCAGGTCCGGGTGTGCTTGGACGTACTTGGATGGGCTCCACCTCCATCCCGCTACCCAAGGGTGGGCCTGTGGGAAAGCCTCGTGAAGTCACCACTCACTTCCAGGGCTGGAGGCTCTGTCCACATGTCCTAGCCCTGAAATCAGATTCAGAACCCTGGTCCTGCCTGCTTGCAGCTGGAGCCCTGGTGGGGGCTGGCAGTTCCCCTCTTATGCTGGGCCCTCCTGGTATGCAGCCCTGCTCATTTCCCTTGCCCTGTCTCGCCTGGCACAGTCAGGGGAAATCAGGGGGGTCAATCCGGACATATGGGCCTGGGCTGTCCTTGATTATTCAATTAGAAGGCCCCCTGACTCTGGGTAGTTCGGAAGGCCAGGCCCCAGCCCAACAGGTAACGAACCAGGTGTCCAGTCTGGGGCCCTGGTTCCGGCCTGGCCTCTGGAAGCATGCCGGGCCCCAGGCCCTCTGTGCCAGTCAGTGCCTCCTGAGCAGATGTTTGCTGTCTTCCTGTGCAGGCCGCATCGTCAACATCAGCAGCATGCTGGGCCGCATGGCCAACCCGGCCCGCTCCCCATATTGCATCACCAAGTTCGGGGTGGAGGCCTTCTCCGACTGCCTGCGCTACGAGATGTACCCGCTGGGCGTGAAGGTCAGTGTGGTGGAACCCGGCAACTTCATTGCTGCCACCAGCCTCTACAGCCCTGAGCGCATCCAGGCCATTGCCGACAAGATGTGGGACGAGCTGCCCGAGGTGGTGCGCAAGGACTACGGCAGGAAGTACTTTGATGAGAAGATCACCAGGATGCAGTCCTACTGCAACAGCGGCTCCACAGACATATCCCCCGTCATCAGTGCTGTCACCCACGCTCTGACCTCTCGCAGCCCCTACACCCGCTACCACCCCATGAACTACTACTGGTGGCTTCGAATGCAAATCATGACCCACTTGCCCGGAGCCTTGTCGGACAGAATCTACATACACTGAAGAGTGCCCCGCCGGGAGGGAAGAGGGATCTTGTGCAGCCACCTCCTGATTACCTGCTTGTGCATTATCCACAGTCCCAGGGGGACCTACTACCACTTTTAGCATTAAGCAGAGGAGACAGCCCAGCCCCACCTGTGTGCACAGTGAGCGGTTTAGGTCTTCTCAGCCAGGGTTCGGCATGGTGGGCAGGGTCCCTAAATCTCAGGGCAAACATGGTACAGCCATCTTTCTGAAGCTGATCTCACACAAAGAGTCTTGGAAGACCTGTTTATATGAAAAACAGATTTCTTATAAAATCCAATACAAACCCTTTACGTTTCTATTTATTTACTTATTTATTTATTTTTAACCAAATCCTTTACATGTTAAAGCCAAAACATTAGTTCAAAAACCGATTGCCCTTGATCCTTAAACCAACCTTGTAAGAAAAAGGGACAGATGCCTTCTTCTGTACGTGAAGTATTTGCGAACCAAAGAGGGTACACGAGTAACCTACTTCTGGCGTATAAATGTTCCAGGGTGGGTGTTTCCACAGCTGCTGCAGAAGCGCTTCCCATTTTGTGTTCCAGGGCTGCTCTGGATCCAGGTGTGTGAGGAGCCTGTGGTGAGCTCGGTGTCCTCGCCTGAGCTGTACATACCGCATGCCCAGTGCTGCAGTGCGTGTCCCTGGTGCCCGTGTGGTGTTGGCCCTGCGATTCCAAGGGGTGGGGACATTCTGGAAGTTTCAGTCTGAGATTTCTGCTGCCTGTCTTAGGACTCGTGTGGAGGTGCTTGCTGGCTAAGCAGTTGGTTTGTTTCTGGTTTGAGTCTGCTTAGGTTCTCCTGGGATTGGGCCCTGTTGATGGGGATCCTGGGCAGGAGCCATAGAACAGCCTGCACCTGGGGTGGTCCGGGTTCGCTGCCTGTGTCAGGTGGTGCATGCACATGCACACACACATGCACGCACCCTCACTCAGGGGGCCTTCACTGATCTCTTGCCTTATGTTTAATTAAGAAGCAGGTCACTAACAGCCCGTGTCATCACGTCTTGGCTTTGGGGTTGAACGTGCCCATCCCTGCCATGGGCCAGAGCCTGGATGTGTGGACCCGAAGCAGCCGTGGTTCCAGGTTGGGCTTCTGGGCCTCGGGGTCCCACGAGCCCTGCTGGCACCTTGCCCCCCCGCGAGTGCTGGGCCCCTGCAGTTTCGGGGTGCTCCCACCAAGCCCGAGGTCACCATCCACACCCCGGCACACCCCGGCCAAGGACGTGTTCCTGCCCGGCGAGCAGCTGCCCGCAGACCCGGGGCACCGGCGCCGGGGGAGGCCCAAGAGCAGCGGGCAGCCAGGGCTGGGCCCGGCCGGCCGCCGAGAGCAGGGGCGTCACGGGGCGAGCGTCCGCCGGCCCTGGGCCTTGGTGGCCGTCCTCAGCACGAGTGCCCTGCGAGGGCCGTGGGGGTGACACTGGCAGGTGGGGAGCCCTCCGGGGCCGCTGATGGCCATGGGGTCACACTGCAGTCCCATCCTTCTGGGTCACAGGCCTGGCCTTTGTGCGGATTTTATGAGATGGACGCCGCGACCCCTGGAGCCCCTCGTGCGCACGGCGCCCTGGGACCTGGAGGGAACGGGAGGCCGGCACCCGAGCCCTGGCCGGGCCGGGTCCTCCTCGGCTGGTCTCCGCGAGTAGGGCCGGCCTGCACATCCTCTTTCCAGGGGACCCGGGTGCCGAGAGCTCACGCTCCCCGGAGCCCATGCGGCAGCAGGGCCGCTCTGGCCCTTGCGAGAGACACGACGTGCCCATTTCACAGATGACCTAACTCGGCCCCAGAGAGGGAAAGTGAGTCACGTAGTGTCACAGTGCCTCCGTGACAAGGGTCTGCTGTCACCCCACAGGCCCTGGGAACTGAGCAGGGCAGGGTCCCCGCACGCAGACCCTCACTGCTCGCCTGTCCGCAGAGCTGCCCCTTCTTGGGGTGGCGGTGAGGGCGGCCCCACACCTGGAGTAGGAGCAGGAGCTCTGCCCCCCGGGGCTGGACGCTGGGTGAGAGCTTCCCGCAAGATGCTTCCGGCAGGGTGCGCCCAGCTTCCCCCCGGGGCCCAGAGCCTGTGAGCAGCGGGGGTGCGGGGTCTGCTGACTCCCCCCGGGGGCCTGTCCACTCCCTGTATTTCCACCGGGCCCAGCTCTGCGAAGCCGCGAGCTCCTCTGGGTGCAGGTACGACCCGAGCAAGCAGCGGCTCCCTCCGCCTGGGCGGCCCCAGGCTCAGGCTGCCAGTTGATAGCGGGCACGGCCTCCCCGGGTCCCGCGGCAGCCCCGGGGGTCGGGCGGAGGCAGGGGGGTCACCGTCTCCTTTTACGCATAAGGAGACATTCCCCCAAGTCTCTTGCCGAGTGCGGGATAGGACTGGGGGGCCGAGCCAGATCGAACCTCCAGCGCGGAGCTGGCGGCGCACAACGAGCAGGGCAGATGGCACCAGGAGCTAAAATAAGGAGGGGAAAAAATACCTCCTTACGTAAGAGGAGTCCGTAAGCACACGCCGTGGCCGCTCGGAGCGCAGCCACATGAGCCTCCCGCTCCCGCCCCCTTTGGGAGAGAGCGAGCCCCAGGAGGGGACATGCTGGGGAGCCCGCTAGTGTCTTGACTGGGCCAACGTGCCCCCCGGGCATCTCCGGGCCCCGCTTCAGGAGCCCCGAGACCCAGCCTCGGGCTCCACTGTGCTCCCATGGCGCCGGGGGTGGTCGGAGCCCAAGGCTCCAGGGGCCTCAGACCAGGACGGGGAATGGGGTGGGGGGTGCGGGTACTGGGGGCGCTGGTCTGTGGGGGCAGCTTCAGGAGCGCGGAGTGGGCCAGCTCCCTGGGGGCGAGGGCCAGGGACGGGGCTTGGCTCAGGCCTGGGGAGGCCGCAGGAGGGAGGGGAGCCAAGCCCAGGCCTCCGGGGAGCTGGCTGAGCCTCGGAGCCCCGCAGTGACAGGGAGCTCATTACTCCCTGAGACAGCAGGTCCCTGGTTTAGGGCGAATTTCCCCAAAGCCCGAGCTGAGACCGACCTCCTGACGTAGCTCCTGGGGCTTGGGGCCGTGACCCCGAACCGCGCAGATTGTCAGGTGTTGGGAGACCGCCGCCCGGGTTCGGAGGCCCAGCTCCCTCACTGGACAAGCCTTCAAATCCCCCCCCCCACCGGCTGAACAGGGGCTCCGGCTGCGGCCACCCCGTCCTTCATTCTTGGTGGCACGCAGCAGCTGAATGGCCCCCGTGGCCCCCCCAGCAGCAGGAACGTCTCTGCTCGGGGAGATGCTGACAGCTTCTGCCACAAGCGCCGGTCTGCGAGGTGTGACCGGGCCTCCTCCCTCCCCTGACCCGCCGACAGCTCGGGGTCGGCCGGCCACCCGGGCCGCAGATGAAGCAGCCGAGCCTGGGGGGGCCGAGCCTGGGGGGACCCGAGCCCTGCGGGTGGGGGGGCGCGGTGAACCAGGCCTGCCTTCGGGCCCGGGCCCTTGCTTTGCTGCTAGACTGCCTCGGTGTCCCCGGCAGGGCCCTGGCGCCGCGCAGCCCGGGAGGCGGTGAGGGAGAGCCCTGAACTCTGTCCCAGGCCGGTCTTGCGGAGGCAGCATGGAGGGGAGGCCGGGCCTCGCGTCCCTGCAGGTGTGGCTGTCGCATCGGGGCCCGGGCCCTGGGGCAGGCCTGAAGGTGGTTCCCCAAGCCAGGGCTGCGGACTGGCCTGCCTCCACGCGTGGGTGGGTGGGAGAGGGGAGAGCGGGGAGGGGACCCACCCGAGGACCCACCCTGGGGGATGTGGGGCCCAGACACACCAGGAGACCTAATTACTCTCGAAAATGGGAGGCTGCTCCCCCTTAGCAGGTCACACACGGGCCTGATTATAGCGCGCTGAGCGACCACGGGGAGTCGTTGTTGGCTTCGGCTGCAGCCCCCCGGCTTCTGGGGGCGGCTGGTGATGCTGCGCCGTTGGGGGCCGGGTGCCCTGGGGCCCGGGGTGCTGCTCCGGGGTGTCCTGTGCCGGGGCCTGCTCTCCAGCCGCTGCTCCCCTCTGGCCCCACGCTCCGGCTGTCGTGGCTGACGCAAGGTCTACAAACGCACGGTGCTGGCCGAAGCGCGGGCTCCGTGGGGCTCCGGACACCCTCCTGGGACAGGGTGAAGGGCAGCGGGGCCCGAACAAGGGCCCAGTAAACCCCCTGCAGCTGGCAGGATCCACACCCTGGCTCCACGGAGGCAAGAGGCGGAAGGCGTGATGTGGTGGATTCCGGGGCCGTGGTGGCCCCGGAGGAGCAACTGCTGGTGGCCATCCGGGTGTCCCTGGCGCCCCCCCCTTCAGAGGATGAGCCCCGAGGGCAGTGGCATCGGCTCCCCATCCCCATCCCCCCGTGTAATTCGTGCCTCTCTGTGCCAGGCCCTGGGCTGAGCCCACGGCCCTCTGGGGGCGCACAGACTGACCCGGGAAGCCAGAAACGTCAACCCGGGGTGACAGGTTAGGGTTAGGGTTAGTTGGAAATTTCATTCTGGGCAAGGTTGGGTAGAAAGAACACAGGTTTGGGAGCCGAATAGACCTGACTTTGAATCCTTTGAATCCAGGTAGGCAACCTTCCAGGCCTACCTGGCCTAGCTGTCCAGTAACCAGCCCTTCCCGGCCCCCCGCCCTTTGTGTCTAAAACGGGGATGATGGTGGGTCCCCTGCAGGGCTGTGGCATAGGCTGGTGAGTGTGTGAGCTCCGGTGTGGGAGGAACCCAGGGGGCTCCCCATCGGCATAGCCAGAGCCTATATAACCCTCTCCCATCCCCACCCACACCTCGGCCTTTCAGAGAAACGCATAGGCCTTCGTCCAAGGGTATTTTGGGGCCAGAGACAGAATCTGGGAAACACTCAGGGCTGAACCACCATGGCCGCAGCCCACCCTCCTGCTCACCGTGCTCCCTCTGGGGCCTGGGGCACGGGAGGTAACTGCCTCCTCCCAGTACCCTTCTCTGATTGCTAAACACAGAACAAACCCCACAGCCCTACACCTCACTTCCTTGCCAGAAATCCCGCAAGGAGATGCTGCTGGATGAAGGAATCCCTACTGGCCAGAAGGGCTTCAGCCTGAAAGTACAGGCAGCAAGTGCATCCCAGGCAGATGGGATTTCCTGAGCACAGACCCTTGTGGCTGTCCCAGGGGATCACCCCAATCTTTCGGCGTAGGAAAAGAGGACACACCAGTTCCTCCTGCACCTTGCTGCCCGGCTGTGTTTGGGCTCTCCCTGTTGCCTCTCAGGGATGCCTTAGCCAGGCCTGGCTTCCTTCCTGTCTTTTCTTCCTCTACACCGAGTTCTGAGGGTCGAGTGTAGTCTG